CCACTTTTCTGTAATTTGAATAGTGTCAAATAAACTTCGTTAACTGCTCTATCGAATGACATAAAAAATTTTATTCTACGATCTTTCCTTATGGAAATATTCGATAATGAAAAAAGGAAAACTAAAGTAAGGAAAACGCTAGAAAACGGAGGTGAACAGTATAATCGCATCACCAGATTAAGCCAAAGTCCGAACTAACTCATTTTTATGCCAAACTGTTAGTCTTGAATTCCTGTAACTACTGTTCATGCGCAAAACTGCGCATATTTTCCTGTAGGAAGTTGTCGATTTTCTAAAAACCCTTGATTTTCCCAAGTTTCGCACGTAGAGTCTATTTTTTCCCTCAGGAGCATTTTTATTGAGAGCCAAGACGATATTTAGAATCATCCCCCTCAGCTGGTTTTTCAAAAAAATACCTGTTTTTTAGAAATCACTTTTTTCGCATTTAACCGCTCGTTAGACTTATGAGTAGCAATAATAGCGATGAAAAAAGGCTTTATCGTAAAGAAAGCCTATTTCCGCCTGCCTTAGCCAAAAGTGTCCACTGTGTAATGGTCACTTCCACGAAATACTGGCTCCTCTTCGATATTTTATTATTTATAACTCATCTAAACTTTTACCACGTATACCACTAAATATTCTCTACAAAAATAAAAGTAGAATCATCTTAGCTAATTATTTTATCAATGAGTACTGACTATTTTAATTAATTAATTAATTATACACGCTAAAATATAGGGTTGTTTTTTTGAATAATTGAAAGATGGCAAAAGATAGAGATTTGAGCCATTTAGCAATTGCAAGAGAATAGCTTAGCCTATATTTTCGTAAGCAAAAACCATTTTCCGAAAATATTTTCAGTTTGATCAGTTTTCTAGGAGATCTTTCGAAAACTACATCAGGTCTCCGGAAACTGAGATACCAATCGATCAGTTTTTCATAGATATATAGTCCAAAGTATCCTCTTAATGAGAACTAAGCGAACTCTTAATTGTTGTTGTTGTTTATTTGCAGATTTAAAAACCGGTTTTCAGAAAAAATAAAAATAAAAGCTAACTCTGAATTCTTCCTAGTTCAGACATGACATCGGATTTCCTGAGAGTCCCAGGATCAATATTTCTTTCGGTGTAGTAATTCCGAAAACGGATGGAAACATAGGTAATCGATCACGCTGAATCTCGTGGTAATATATTTTTTTCGAAAAAAGTATGTGACCGTTGTTCGCTAAAAGTATTGATTTTTTACTAACAATAAACATGTCCGAGGACTGGTTCCACGATTTAATACTTCATAGTGCACAACAGAAAAACGTTAAACAACAAAACAATCAAGGGGGTTATAGCCTCTGGAAGTCAACTTCTTTGAAAGAAAATCTTAAACTTTATCTTCTACTTCATACTTTCATTTTTGTCTACTGTATCACTACAGTGTCAGCTCTACAGTACTATGTAAATAGTCATCGTATCCCACCCTCACACATAATCACTAGTTATTTTCTCTTTTATGTTCTACTTTGGAACAAGTGGCCATCTTTTTTTTCCTTCTTTATATATACACATCGATCGACTTTCTTATACAGTTTCTTGCAAGATGCTTATTTCTTATCCTTTCAGGCAAGGTTCTCGAAATTTTTCGTGTAAATTCGGCTAAGGTTCTTATTTTAATTTTTACTTCAGGTTTTATTCATACTGACTAAACTGGATATTCGATGAAAGTAGTATTTCTTCGCTTATATTGAGTTTAACAGAAAAATCATCGTATATCCATGTTTTGTACTCGATTTGTTGGTCGATTTGCTAATTCTTCCTTATTTCGCACATAACATTTATCCCAGAAAGTATCTTTTTTCTTCTAGAAGAGTTTATGAATGATCAGCGCCCCCTACAGTTCACCCAAAGATCACCAGTGCAAGTGTTTGCTAGTAAAAAGGGGTAATTATCGGTTTTGCGCATGTTTTCATCGTAAAACTCGGTTCCCATCATTGTAGCCGACTAAAGAGGCCATGCACATCTTTGATTTTTCAAGCGTATGATAAGCGATTCCGGTCAGTACGAGTCGTTCTATCGTACTTCTCTGTATAAATCGGTTCTTCTATCAGCAGCAACATGTCTAAAGGATCGGAATTCTCACCAGAAGTGAAGCAAACGATATTCAACGTTATTAGATTTGTCGAGAGTGAGAAAAACGGTTTTGTAATACCTCTCTACAATGTCAACGTACGGCTCGAGTCTATGCTCGGGATCTCCAGATCATCGGTAGAAAAATTGAAGGACGAATTTAAAGAGGCTGAGCATCGAATACTTGAAGAAGAGAGGAGAGCAAGCGAAGCTGCGCAGGAGCAGGAAAACAAAGAGAGTGAGCTTGAACTGCGACTTCATCATTCACGTGTATCACGGGAGACAAGAAGATTCTCTCCGATGGCCCGAAATGTTGAACGCGCAAAACGTATTGCACAATCACCACGTAAACGAGGTTATTCTGGTCGCCCAGCAATACTCATCTCTGAACACGAACAAGAGAACATTCGGTCAGTAAGACTAACCTACTCATATTGCTGATCTATATCGATACATCTTAGATATCATGTTCACCTCACTTTGACTGAACGAATTTATCCATACTGGCACGATGAGACATGGTGCAACAAAAACGAGGAAAAGACTTTCGTGTGGACAGACGGGACGACCGGTAGTGGTCGGCTACACCAGACTGTCGGCATCGGTAATTTCACCGTTTTTCGAAACAAAACACTCTGCTCTATTCTGTTCTTTAGGCAAAAGACTTGCCATCTCTGGATTGTTGACCAACCATGGTTTTCATTTACCTTCGTTGGAGATCTTCGAATGTGATGAAACCCATAGTATGGATTCGAATCATTTCGTGAAATGGATTGATCGTACGTCTGGTCTTCTGCGTCGAGAGCTTGGTAAATCATTCTCTTACGTCTCCTTCGACTGTTGCGAAATTGGGTATCTTTGTGGGCAAAAATGCCAAAATTGTTTTGATCGTCGACAGTGCGCCCTGGCATAATCAATTAACCGAGGAGACGATGTCACCGAAAAGGTCATAGCGGAAGCAATTGATCATCGACTGGCTCAAGAAACGTGATATTCCTGTTCTCGTTAATACCACCAAACCTGAGCTTCTTGAGCTAGCGTTCGGCAGTCTACCATCCAAACGCTACATCGTCGATGAAACAGCAGCGAAGCATAACGTTCAGATATTGAGGTGAGCTACTGATGCTAGAAAATGTAGAAGCGAAAAAGTATCCTTTCTAGGTTATCGATCAAGCACTGTATACTCAATTCGACTGAGTTAGCCTGGTCTGGCCTCAAGGCATATGTTCGCGAGAACAATAGCACCTTTAGCCTCAGTGATGTTCCAGATCTGTCTCTAAGATGGATCGCATCGGTGGACGCTCTCTTAGCTACTGCGTACCTCGAACATACGCGCAAAGTTGAACAAACCTTCAAAGAATCCGATCAGTTCAGTGAGCAAATCGAAGAAGACATCGTAGATGATCATGAAAACGTGGCATCTGAGATTGAAGAAACCACTGATCCAAATTGAGGTCGTTTTCATGTATTTTTGGCTATTTTCATAACTTCTAGATTGAAATCGATCGAAAACCTACAGAAAAAATTCATCCCGACTGAAAAAAATGCCAAACAAGGGGCCGTTTTTTCTCATTATCCTGCCCCCTGGGGTCCCTGTGGATATGGGAAAGGTCGGTGTGAAATATTCGGGTGACCACTCATTTTGAAGATCTTTTCATGACGAATCTAATGGGTGATGTCAGAATTCGATTTCAATCTTTCTTCACCCCATTTAGTGACTCCGCAATGAAAAGTGAGAACGGAAACACCTATGAAAAAACACGAAAAATCGACCAAATATACGGTTGGATAGGAGACGCTCTGAGCTTTCTAATGGTACCAACCGTTTGTGTTCAGCGCATACTAATCAAAAGCTATTCAAGAAATGGCCTTCCTTTTTCGTTTTTGAAATGGATAATACAAACTGTTTAGCTGATAAAGCTCGAGAATTCATCAAAAATTACTGAAATTTGCTCTATCTCGTGTCGTGTCTCAATCGAAAAGTTTTAATCAACTTGGGTCTTAACCGGATCGATCGAAATTTTTCGAAGCTATCTCAGAATGTGTGTTGATCCCAAAAAGATGATACATGATGGTCTTTGGTTCATAGTACTAAAACGGTTTCTTTCTATTTGACTTTGCCATAAGAAAGAAATCGACTTCATCCTAGACAGGTTTCTTTAATTCTTCGCAAACAGGGCCAAAATGTGATGCAAAATTTAGGTCTATTTGATTTTATTAATCTGGCCATAAATGTCAAATTTTTCTACATAAGAAAAGTCAACAAACAGATAGAATATCAGTTACGGTATACGTTAAAAGAACAGAACAAAACATTATCAAAAATAAATATTCAAGCAAGAGACGGTAAGAATTTTCCATCAGTATAATGATATTTAGATGAAAACTACTAAGCTATATGTAATCGATGATGAACGCCGCGCGGAAGACTAGGCCTCTAAAGACAGGGTGTCTCGAAACCAGTCTACAAGTCTGAGAAAATTTTATTATTCGATCATTTCATCAGGTAGAAAGAACTTCAATGTAACTTGGAAATTTTAGTCTTTCTGATCATAAGGATGCATCATCATACCGATGGTCGACTAGTTTTTACTTGCTAGAAATCGGTATAGCACTTTTTTGAGATATCACAGTTCGAACTAGATTATTTACAAAAGCTGAATTTGATAGATCATACAGCGTTTTTCTCGCTCTAAATACCGCTCACTGAGAAACGTGTTTGGGATTTAGAGTCAGTTTTCTAGGAATCAAGTTTCGAGAAGACCAGCTTTTTAAGACCTAAGAGCAGGTGTTTATAGCAGCATCATAAATTGCATATAATTACGTGGTTTTTTTAGTTGAAAAAGTCTGAATGGTGGTCCATACGTCATTAGACATTTAATGCAGATTTCAAAGTGTGAGACAGACTCCAAAAGCTTTCCAGTTCCAGGAAAGGGAAAAGGTTTTGGCTAGCAGCTTATAACTTGCGAAGAATTAGCAGAAGCACTTTTCACTTGTAGCAACTAATCATGCAAGATCCTGCTCGAACAACACGCATCCTTGTGGGCATCATCGTCTTTTTAACACTTGTCATTCTCGCAATGGTGGGTGTAGCACTCGGTATTATTGTTAAAGTTTCCAAGAAACAGGACGATGTAGCAGCAGTCACAACAACATTGTCACCTCCGACAGCTAACAGATTAGTTGCTTCGATTACTGTTGATCAAATGATGTCTCATCTAAATGCATTACAACGGATTGCAGATACTACCGGGGGTACACGTGCTATTCATACTGAAGGATTTCACGGGACATTGGATTATATCACACAGTATCTGACAAACAATACTGATTTAAAAGTTCAACGACAAGACTTTAATTGGAGTACATTTGATTTGATTAGTGATCCAACATTTAGCTCAAGTATTAGTGGTACAAGTAAGAACTACACCTGGGGTGTTGGTAAAGATTTCTATCAACTAATGTATTCTGGTAATTCATCTACAAGTTCAACATCAGCTCGGGTAACTATTGTACCAAACTTCGGTTGTAATCCTTCTGATTGGAATGTACCAAATATCGATGGAACTGTTGCTTTGGTTGCTGCTGGTGGTGGCTGCCTTTACCGGATAAAAACACAATTAGCCCCACGGAATCTCGGTGGTCTATTGATTTATAACCTTGGTACACCAAATAATCTATTTGCCGTCGCATCAAGTGTTAATCCAAATACAACGTTTCCAGTTATATCTGTATCACATTCAGTTGGCATGCAACTGATGAATGCTGCGAATGATACGTTAACGAATACAACTGTAACAATTCAACTTGCTGCGGAAAAAGAGGAACGACCAGTTGGAAATATATGTGCTGACACAAGAACAGGTGATCCAACTCAGACGATTTTAATTGGTGGTCATAGTGATAGTGTACCAGCTGGAGCAGGAATCAATGATAATGGTGAGAAATACCGTTTAAACCTCAGTCTTTTTTTAACGCTTTCTTCTTTTTAGGAAGTGGTAGTGCTGCCATTATTGTTCTTGCTACGAATATAGCGCGATTGTTTCATAATTCGGTTGATCAAGTGTACAAATATCGTGTTCGATTCTGTTGGTGGGGTGCTGAAGAAGTTGGCCTACGTGGAGCTGAATATCACCGTGATATGGCAAGAAACACTGAAACGGTAGGGGAACGTATTTCAGACTATCTGGTTAATCTGAACTATGATATGCTCGCTTCACCAAATTATATGTTCGGCATCTATAACGGAAGCAGTGCTCCTAATAATACGCCTGCAAATGCAATTCCCGGTAGTATTCGTCTTACAGAATTATTCCGCGATTGGTTTATAAGTCAGTCATTACCATGGACTTATACTGATTTTAGTGGACGATCAGATTATGGCCCATTTTTGGAAACTGGTATTGTTGCATCAGGATTGTTTTCCGGAGCGGAGGATAGAAAATCGAAGATTGAACGCGATTACTATGATCGGGTTCTGGGTTCCACTCTAGGGGGTATAGCTGAAACAGCTTATGATTCATGTTACCATCTGTCTTGTGATACTGTGCAAAATATAAATCAGTTTGCATTACAAAGAATGACACAGGCTGCTGCGTATGTTCTGGAATATCTTGGACGATTAGATAACCTTCAAGATTGGCTGTATCCTAAGGGACGACCAGAAACCGTGTGAAAAACACCTACACTTTTTAATCACGAAATTGAACTACCACCAAATGATCACTACTCAAATCGATTTTTGCTAACGACATATAAACCATACAGAATCCACCTTTGTTTTGAATTTTATAAATTATAACCACAAATTTTTTCATTTTGCTGACGAAAATGTTCTGAACTAATGCATTATTTTAATTTTGACCGAATGCACGAACATAACTTCATTCTAAAAATACTTTAAAAATACAAAAGAAAAATATAGTCTGATCGTACGTTGTCTGTTCTCTCCTTTGAAATGACCAACAACAGAAACAAAAGAGACCGAGTGTGCGTTTTTTTCAAGCATTGTTATTTTGTGTAAATAATGAGACTTTTTCAATTTGTTGCATTCTGTATGTTTTCATCGAGATAAAAAAAGTTAATGTTTAATCACATTCTGAAAATAAGGGCTTCTGTGACTAACTCTATATCATCTACTGTCTGCTTTACGTTTGAAAAACTTAAAACCAGAACGAGTTCTGGACCTCAGCATATGATTAATGTTGTCTGCTAAACCCCATTATAAGATCGAAAAAACCGAAAAAGCATATATTTGTTAATAGATTTTCCAGAAACCCTTTTGGAAAACCTTAGGGTTTTGTAACAATTTCTTTCGAGATCTCTTATAAACAATATAGAATCGCTTAAATACTCTACATTCTGAAGTTTTGAACGTGTTCGAATGTTTTCTGAGTGAACAGTGAATTTTTTAATATTAGGTGAAAATAGTCTGGAAACCCTAATTTTCGTAAAACTGACTTTTCGCTAGATTTTTACAATTTCTTCTAAAAGCAAATATTACCATGAGACTCAGCATGGCCGATTACCCATAGTCCGTCCATCTTCAAGGCTACCAATAATCACCGGGTGTCACTTCTGGGACTCGTGGAAAATTCGCTACAGTGCCCGAATTCATAGTCGAATGTTTTGGTAAAGAAACATTTACACTTCTCGTCCAACGACATGAAGTCGATTTCTGAAAAGGTATAAAACTGTATAGGATATTATACACGTTCTACGTCGACTTTCTATGAATTAGAAATTAATTTCAGTTAACAGTGTCCTAGTGACCGTTACACATCTTTTGCATACCGTATGCATATACGGATAAATGAACATTCATTTCCTTTTAGTATTCTTGTTTTATTCCTTAACTTATAGGTCATAGGTCACCGCACGAGTGTTTAAAATGACGAGAAGAAATGTTTTTCTGACATCTTTTCTTTGGCAATGTAGTTAAATCAAAAATTCGACTATCGATGGTCAAATTATGGGAGAAGGAGGGAAGAAAAGACATTGAGAACGTTGTGCTTTTATCCTCATCCTTATTGAGCATTTCATCCGAACAGCCTGGGCATTTTTCTTTCGACTGGTCGCGTATGACTGAAGGAAAAAGAAAAGAAATACTCTAACATATAAACCTATATACATACGGTATGCACAAAAGTATAATAGTCAATGAGTGCCAAATATTTTCTAGTGAAAGTGTATTAAGGATTTCTTATATCGGTCATTCTCGAATGAACTCATACGTAATAATATTTTTCTTGACGCATCTTTGGATGTCTACGTTCAAAGGTAAGTGGTGAAATATGCTGCAGTTACTTTAAACTTGCTTAAGAACAAAAACAAGTGAAGAGAAACGCGACGTATAGTGACTTTCGAAAACAGACGAGAGTTCGAAAGCAAAAAAAAAGTGAAAGTTGCTTGATAAAAGAAGTCATCAAGGGCAGTATAAGTAATTTTCACGTGAAACGAAGGAATTTGAGATGTGTGGAAGCTTTGTGCCGAAGAAAAGGATGCGTTCTTTTGGCGTATATGCCGTTGACTGATGTGCTTTCTTGGCGTTGATCTCATTATTCATTTGTTTTAGCATTTCCAACTACACCTGAGCCATCAGCTACAGCACAAGTGATACCTGGTGTTAGAAAATACAGTGAGTTTTAGTTATAATGTATTTTTCCTCTCGTGCGAAGAACAGCGTGAAAGAGCAAACACAAAACGTTATAATATATGTTCTTTTCCCCTCCCTTTTGCGATGATCTGACTATTCATAGTCGATTTTTAATTCAACTGCATATTGATAAAGAAAGCATGGTAAAGAAACATTTACACTTCTCGTCCAACAATATGAAAACTGATCTTTCAGCCAGTATCACAGTATGGCAGCATTTTACACAGCTAGGAGTGGTGGTTGACTTTCTAGTTTCTAGAGAAAAGAGTCGATTTCTGAAAAGGTATAAAACCGTATAGGATATTATATGCGTTCCAACTTTGTGCAGCAGAGAAGGATGCGTTCTTCTGGAGTATATGCCATTGACTGATGTGCTTTCTTGGCGTTAATCTCATTATTCATTTGTTTAGCATTTCCAACTACATCTGAGCCATCAGTTGCAGCACAAGTGATACCTGGTGTTAGGAAGTACAGTAAGTTCAGTAGATGTTGTAGTAGGATTTGTATTTTGTAATGCAAATAGCGATTTTGCATTGATGGCAATAAAGTACCATTTCTTCGATTGTCGCTCTGTGAGAACGGTCAAGAAAGATGCTGGAAATGCCGCATTACTACAGCGGTTAAATGCTACAGTAATGAGGAATCCTTTATAATTAAACCTCGAAAGCAGATTGGGAAATTAAATCATGCCTCATTGGGATGATCTGGAATGAGGAGATGAAAACATGTGCGGCGAGGCCTGCACGACTGCCAGTGTTTACACTACACTTACCCGGTATGTTCTGCAGATGATTGTTCTTTTAACAGTAGATGATAAAAGTGGTGGAACCAAAAGTCATTCATGAAGTCAAAGTAGGAAAAGAGTTTCGAAGTAATTACGATTTTTGTAAAGGATTGGGCGTTTTTTGCGATGCTAGTTACGTTCACTTTCCTTCTTCGTTCTACTATTTACGATACATGATGCATAACGC